ACGGTGCAAAAACAGTTGTAAGTTCTTTACAAATTTAAATAATTTTTAAACTATTTAAACTAGTTGTCTGTTATTGAACTTAAGACAATTCTTTTCAGCGATGTTGTATGTATAGTTAAAAATTAAAGCTTTACTTAGATACATATTTTTCTTACTCGGCGCCAAAGAAAGTCCTCATTTTTTCCCCCTCGTTGGCAACAAATAATTGAAATATCAAGCATGTGAGCTGTCATAAGCATAANAATAATTAAATGATTTTAATGGTTTTATAACGGTGCAAAAACAGTTGTAAGTTCTTTACAAATTTAAATAATTTTTTAACTATTTAAACTAGTTGTCTGTTATTGAACTTAAGACAATTCTTTTCAGCGATGTTGTATGTATAGTTAAAAATTAAAGCTTTACTTAGATACATATTTTTCTTACTCGGCGCCAAAGAAAGTCCTCATTTTTTCCCCCTCGTTGGCAACAAATAATTGAAATATCAAGCATGTGAGCTGTCATAAGCATAAAAGCGTGAACGTATTTGTTTACTAATTTCTGAATGAAAATTCTTTTTTTGCATGGACAAAAAGGAAAAAAAGCTGAAACAAACTGAGATAAGTTGCGAAAAAATGAAACGTTGTGAGCGAATTACAGTTCCTTTTGAAAGTCCAGAAAAGTTAAGAAAATTTTTAAAAGTTATGGCAACACAGATTCTTAATTTTAGTGGCAGTAAAAGTAATTTTCTGGATTTTTGATGCTTCAAAATTGTCCGCATGTAATAAAGATTCCCATATTGTACCCACAGGTTGTGTTGGAAAGACCGAAACATTAGTATTTTGACTGGTTTTCAATTTCGAATGCAACAAGTACAATTCGAATACAACAGTTACATTTCGAAAGTAACAAGTTCTTTATTAGTATCAGCTGTTCTTTATTAGTATCAGCTGTGTTAATGAGTTTTCCAAATAAAAATAAGTTTTTATGCTCATTTTCAATAAATACCATATTTACTTAAAATTTTAATTTCTATTCATATTAATAGTCTATTTTATTTTTTCTTTTGTTTTACATTTTAAAACTAATAATTTTATACGAATTGTGCATGTTAATTAAATATGAATGTTGATAATGGCGATATTTGCCTTCGAAATTTTTAGCTTCAAAAATACCACTAATTTCTGCACCATCAACGTGAAATTCCTATTGTTTTTCAAATTTGTGTAATAAATGCTGGCTATACAACAAATTATGTATCTTTGACTTAAAACGAGAATTTTGGGATATACGAAAGTATGTTGTGCTCCCCCCCCTAAAAAAACGAAAAATAATGGACCACTTTGAATAACTTTTGATCTAGTGATCAGATCTTGTCTTTCTAGTTCTTACGTTTTGAGGGGGTGATCTCAAATATGCTTATTAATTAGTGCAGACGATATTTTAAGTTGCTAAACCAGGCACATATAACGTACTTTCTCTGAATAAACAAGCGAAAAATAACTTTTAGTAAATATTTATTTTATTTAATAACAGTCGAAAAAATTATGAAGTGAAAGGTATGAAATTTTTTTTATATCATTTTAAAGATTTTATTTTTTCATCGCAAAATACAAAATTTGAGTAAAATCGGTCGAATAGTTCCTGAGAAATCGAATTTTAAATATACGACTTAGAAGTCATCGTGAACTCTTCAAATACTATGTACTAAGTAGAAAGCCTAGAGTAGTCAATTCAGCTCTCGACGCTTAAGTGTTTGTGAGTTAACCAATATGGTTTAAGTTTTTAGTTTCCAAATTATGTTCCAATTACTTTTCCCCCCTTCTTTTTGTGAAAGTACTAGAAAGAAGAAAAAAAATCATGAATTTTACATTAGGCCTGCAGTAGTGAGTCATAAGGGAGTACTTTTCTGGCTGGAGATAAACAATTTTCGAAAGTGCCGTAAAAGTTGGTGGAATGTAGCCTATAACTTATCAATGGAATGCTAAAAGGAAACTCTTATTTACTTCTTGAAAGCTGTTGAAATAGTTTCATCTTTCTTCAATTGCAAATCGTCAATGATGTATCTGTAACATATCAATCGATTCATTTAATAAGAATGTCTACCAATCACGATATTTTTGTTAAAGGGAAAGAATTTAAAAAAAAAAAAAATGATTTGGTGGCAGGTTTGCGGCGGATAAAACTGGGTTTTAGTTGTTGTGATATAGTAAATGACCGGCTGGAATTTTTTTTTTTTCAGTTCGATTGTTTTGATCTCGTCGCTGATATAGCCTTTCTGACGTCCAATCTGGTGTTGACGCATTCCGTCTTTCGTCTAGAGACTATTAAAACTTTTTTTTTTCCTTTTCAAATGCATCGTTAAATTAGTGTGGATCTTGCAGATTTGATGAAAAACTTACACGATTTCTTAAAGGAGTTAAATAACTTGAAATAACAGTACCTTTCAGGTATATCTCGCTTTCAGCTATAGACAACTCTTTCTGCCGATTTATCATTTGGGGAGAAAAATCATTTGAGTCAATACTATGAAGAACCTCATTTTAAGATAGCGATTTTTAAAAGTGTTTTTAGTGATTAACGCAGCGATTTTTAAAAGTGTTTTTAGTGATTAACGCTGCTACTACGTAAACAATATTAAGAAAGGTTTCGATATAAGCAGGGGTCTGTCCAGACATTTTGTGAAAGGTCCGATTTTCGTGAAATGGTGAAAAAATTACATTCTTTCAACCAGGGTCCCGCTTTTATGAATTTGTGCAAATAGGGTCCGGTTATTGCAAAAAACTTTTTCAAGGAGTTTTTAAATTGTAAATAGTTACAACATTATGCGCAGCACTGTAAAATTATAATAAAAAAAATTAAATTTTCAAAAATAAACAGCAATTGCTGCTTCTAAAATNTAAACATGCCTTCAAAATAAAATACAGTTGCACCAAAAAATAAATATAAAGTGATTTAACATTACTAGAACAATAAATTAATGGGAACCCTCAGCTTGTTTCTTTGCAATGAGATGGTTCCATCTGAGGGTAATCGTTTTAAAACGTTAAAAAAAATTATGTCACTACCTTCGGGAGCAATTTTTTTTTAATAAATAAAATAATGGAACACAGATATTTTTAATTTTTGGTATAAACCAAGGAATTTAAATTCAGTTTCAATGAAATGTGCGGCCCGGTACCATTTGATCCACGGACCGGTACCGGTCCGCGGACCGGGGGTTGAGGAACACTGCGTTAACGGACCCAAATTTCTTCTAAACAGACCCCTGATAAGTATGTCACTATTTGAAAAAAAAGAAAAAGTTATCAGTCACTATATTGCTTCAATCCTTTTAATTGTCAAGAAATATTTACCAAATTAAAGTGCAAAATTCCTCTCAGATCATTAACCTTAGCAGTTAAAAAGTTAACAATTGAAAAGAAATTGTGAACGGACGACCATCGTTTGACCGACGTAAACGATTTTTTTTTTAGATTGTTGTGATCTCGTCGCTGATATAGTCTTCTGACGTCCTATCCGTTGACGCATTCTGTCTTTCGTCTACAGACTATTGAAACCTTTTTTTTAATAAATGCATCATTCCTTAAATATTGTCAAATTTGTAGCTATGATGAAAAACTTAAAACGCTTTCTTAAGAGTTAAAAAATCTTAAAATAACAGTACCTTTCAGGTATATCTCGCAAAGTTTTATCTCTTGTTTAGCTATAGATAACTCGTTTTGCTGATTCATCACACTTGGGAGAAAAATCATTTGCGCCAATATTATAAAAAACCACATTTTAAGATAGTGTTTTTTTTTTTTTTTTAAGTGTTTTTATTGATTAACGCTACTATTACATCAACAAGATTAAAGAAGATTTTGATATAAGTATTTCATTATTGGGAAAAAAGTAGCTTATCATTATATTGCTTCAAGCCTTTTAATTGTCAGGGAAATAGTCAGCAATTAAAAGTGCAAAATCTCTTTCATACCATTAACCTCAATATTAAAAAGGTTCGCTGTTGGAAAAGAATTGTGAACTGACAATCATCTGCTGACCAACGCCAACGATATTTATTTTTTTATTTTATTTATGCAGCAGCAATAAAAGGAGTTGTATTGCTTTTTATTAACCAGTTGGTCCATTTATGCTTGTTTTAATTTTTTTTTTGATTTGTTATTTTGCAATATTTTTTATTGTATCGCCCATTTGAATTTTTGAAAATATTTTTTTCCCTTTCGTCTGCGTAATTTAAGAATGGTGTTACAGAAATTTAAAAAAAATATTTTTCCGTGTTTATTTTTATTTTACTAATCAATATTTTTATTCTACTAATTGTAAACTATCAATGTAATTTGTTAAGTAGTAATTTTCTTTTTGCAATATTTTTTAATTTTTTATGCATCTCATGTTAGGGACGAAGCTCCATCTTCTATCATTTTGCATAGAAATGATGAAAAAACTCAAAGTATGATATCTAAAAAAATTTTTTTTTTATTAAAGTTATTATATTTTTTAAAACCCAAAGTTTACTAAATTACATTCTGAATGAACCTGCAGTAATGTAATGCGTCTCTGAATTTTAAACACATTATTTTAAGTACGTTTTTTAAACTGATGGTTTTTTAGGTACATGTTCGACGAACTTATCAAATTTTTCCATGGGGGAAATTGTTTGTAGTAGCTATAAGCACTAGAATAAGCTCAATTTAAATTTTGTTGGGTTAAACTTAAAAAAATTGTGGGGCCCCTCAAATAATGGATGTAGTTCACTTCATTGTTTCACTATCTTACCTAGATTCTGTTACACCATCAACTTTTGACAAAAAAAAATAAAGCTAATTCTGGCTCTTGTGCCTTTTAAACTCAACTTTTAAACTAACGGTAATCATATTTGCTGATTAATCTTATAAAAGCAAATCACATTTTTGGAAAATATTATTTTTTTGCATTGCTTGTAAAGTTTAAGTTAACTTTGTTTAGTTATATATTTAAAATGTTTTTTTTTTAATATATATATATTTTTTTTGCTGCAGGTTTGGAAGCAAAAAGAGTGTTTAAAGATGAATTTGTCTGAATGATATTTCTGAGTTTTTCTACTGCTATGGCACATAGTTTAATAGTGTGCACAGTAGATGCTCATCAACTTGCTGCATTGGTTAGGAACAGAAATGATAATGTAAGTATTTTAATTATTACAGTTGACCTATAAACAGTTTTGTGACAGTTGACCTAAAAAATAGTGAATTTAAATTTTTTGAAATAATATAAGGTGTTATCGTGACACTATCCATAATGTATTATGTTTATAAAATATTATATCTGATGTTTTTTAACAGGGGTCTGTTTAGAAGAAATTTGGGTCCGTTAACGGACCCTTCACAAAATATCTTATTTCATAAAAATGGACCCTTCACAAAATATTTTAACTTAAAAACGGACCCTTCACAAAATATTTTATCTTTTAATCAGACCTTTCTCAAATTTGTTTATCTTCATTATTGTTTTGTTAATCGAATAAACCCTTCCCAGGGGAGTGGGGGGAAAGAAAGACAGGTAAATGAACTAAGTTTTGACTTCAGCAGACGCTTCTTCCTTTTTTCGTCCGAAATGAATATTCTGCGTTCCGCAGTATAGGCTAAATACCAAATATTTGTATGTTGCATCTCTAATTTAGTAGCAGAAATTGCAGTTTATTTTTTAAAATTAAATTTTTTTAATTTTAATTTTACAGTGTTGAGCTTAATCTTGTATCTCTTTACAATTTAAAAGCTCATTGAAAAAGTTTTTTGCAATAACAGGCACCCTATTTGCACAAATTCACAAAAGCAGGACCCTGGTTGAAAGAATTTAACTTAAAGTTTATTTTACATTCACAAATTACGAGTAATTTTTCACAATTTTACAAAAACGGACCTTTCACAAAATGTCTGGACAGACCCCTGTATAAGGTTCTATATATGCAGTTAAACGATGTGAGATTCCATATGTATTTTTATGGTGCCCATCTTTTATTGCTTGCTTTCTCCTGTATCTGCCAATACTGCTTTCTTCTTAGGGCATCTGTATAGTACTGTAATTTTTTCTGAAATTATTGACTGAATTTAATGTTTTCCACAGTATTCTATTGTGTATCAGTTATTTATTTTTTGAAAAATTAGTATCAATGTTTAATTATTTATAACAGCATTATAATAATTAAGAGCACAATTTTCTTTTTTTTTTTTGCAGGTATGATTAAATTTATAGATTTAATTATAACAAATAAAATTAAATCTATGCTGGTCTTTGCATATTTAAAATTTACAGAAAAGATCTTCCACTACTTTGATGACTTTGCTTATGAAAGTCAATCTTAATATGAATATTTCTTTTCATGAAATTGATAACCTTTTTATTTTTTAGGCATTGATACTTGATGGCCGATCGTTCTTGGAATATAATGCATCTCACATAGTTAATGCTATTAATGTTGGATGTGCTAAATTGATGAAAAGACGTTTGCAACAAGAGAAAGTAAGATAATGCCTGAAAGTTTTTTTGTTTTTTAGCACAGCAATATAATTAAATATATGATAATAATAGTTTGCCAAATATGAAATACGTATTTAAAGAGAAAAAAAGTGAAGCATTCCAAATGCTTTATCTTTAAAAACAGAAATTTTTTCTCTCTTTATGCTATCATTTTTTAAATTTATAATATCTTGTCTTGACTTTTTATTATGTCGTTAAATGCTAGGACACATTTCAAAGTCATGGAAAACGAAGCGAACTATATAGCAATCTTTATGAGCCTTAGTGAGCAAGGGTTATAAATTGTTATTAATAATTTGTTTTAATTTGTTCAAACTTTAAAGCATTATTCTTATACGTTATTTTTATTGTTTAAAGTCAAAAAGAAAAAAGTAGAATTCAATCATGCCAGCATATAACTTCTACAATGGAAAACATACTTTAAAACCAATTTGTGTAGTTACGGCTTAGCCCCTATATTGAGTTCGGGATAAATAGTTAAGTGATATTTTTGATGAATATTTTTTTTATGTTCATGTCTTAAGCATTTAGAAGATAAGAGAGAGAAAATTTTAGAAGTTTTTAAGTCTGTGATTATATAATTTTTTTTTTCTTCGAATGCCTACCTGAGGAATGACCTTTTGTCATACAGGCATCTGAAGGGCAGATTTGTTGGCCACTCTTTCAGGGACACCATATTAGGGGGGCCAACACTGCTCCCACAGTAAGGACAGAGAAGGAAAGAACATCCATACCTTGCCCAGGATTCGAACCCAGAACTTTTCTGATGCAAGGGCAGTTTCCTGACCCTTACAGGCTTATATCAGGGTTGGGTTTTTGCCGTCAAAAACTGGTTTTTGACATGACAGTGGTAAAAACCGTGTTTTTACCGGTAAAAACTGTAAAAAACCTACAGTTTTCTTTAATTTAATGCATATAGCAGGCAATATATTATTTTCACATAATTGCCTTAATAAACGAATATTGTAAATGATTGCTATTGATTTTGCAACTATATACATGAATTCTTATAGAAGGATATACATTCATATAGAAATATTGTAATATGCTTATTGAAAATATTGATACTTACTTTTATCATTATAGCTTGATTTGCAAAGGATTCAAAATTTTGCACTTCTTAATTGTTAGAAATAAACAAACAAACAAAAAAGCTTAGAACTATTATTAAATTCAAGAACTAAAAAGAGGAATTTAAAATTTGGCATTTCTTAAATATTAGAAATAAGCTAAACAAAACTTTCAAAGCTTGTAACTACTAACAAGAATGACTTGACATTCTTCAGTAATGTAATATGCCAAACAAAACGATGCTTGGAAATGTTGAAAATTTTGTTTAGCATCATAATATTTTACTTCAAATAGTATGTTTTGATATAATCAAGTTGGGAAAATGCAAGAATCTGTTCTTAAATGTCTTTTAACAATTTTTTTTTTCTAATTTTACTGCCCAAAAATGAAATAATTTTAAATCATAAGCAGTTAAACTCAAAAATACAGTTTTACCAAAACTATGGGTTTTTTGACATGACGGTAAAAACCATGGTATAAACCGGTAAAAACCGTCACGTGTCAAAAACTTGCCAACCCTGGCTTATATAAAACATTGTTTTAAAAAAAACTGAAATATTTTTGTTATCCTTACACATTATAGTTAGAGCATTTTAGAATAAAGAGCATTTTTTTACACATATAGAACATTTTACAAAAAAATGCAAAATGTTCTATCTTTTTTAGATTATGAGAGTTCCAAGTACATTTAGTAAAATATTTTCAAGTTTGTAAGTTATTTTATTACTTTTTTCTTATATTTTTTTGGCTCAATTGTGAAGTTAGAAATAAATGAAAGAATTATAAGTAGTAAAATTAAAAATTTGATTTGATAAAAAAAATTTAAAATTTACCAAAGGTTTAAATTTGATTTGAATTAATAATTGTAATATGGTCTCTGTTAATAAAACTTTTAATTTGATTTATTGCTTTTTTAGTTAAGTATTGAAGATTTCCTAGCTCAAAACTGCCACTGGAATGTTCATAGGAATGTAAATATAATTGTCTACGATCAGAATACATGTGACCCAAAATGTTTACCACCAGACAGTTTCATGGGAGTATTTCTTCAAAAACTTTTACCTGTTTACAAGAATGTCAGCTTTTTGAAAGGTAAAAAATATATTTTACGCTAAAATGCATTCAAGTAAATTTTTTTTGTTCATTTTTTGGGGGTAAGCAAATAGAGTCAACGGTATATCTTTTTATAATTTACTTAGATATACAATCTAAATTATTTTTCTTATACACGGTACTCTGGGGGGTAGGGAGACCTATATGACTTAAAGTTTATCATAAATCCTAACAGTAATCTGTTACTGTTTATAAAAAAAAAAGTCAAATTTAACAAAGTTTTAGATGTATATAATATATTAGTACTATGTCCTAAGTAAAAAGGTTATGAGAATTCTTCTTCTACTTTATACTTTACAAAGCTAAGTTTTGTTCAATTGCAGTTCTAAAGAACAAATATTCACAAAAATAAATATTGAGAAAAAGCTATACTGAGCTTAATTCTATGATATGAAAAGCTATGTAATAAAGAGCAAGCTTGTTCATCACACTAAACAAAGTCATAATATCTTCAAGTGTGGATTAATTTTCTTGTAGCACTAATTTCTTATCTTGTAGCTCCCTTATGCATTATATTATTAATAACTTCTTAATTACAATTATAGTATTACTTTGAAATTTTAAGTATTGTTTCTATCAACTGTGTTTTTATTCCCTCCACTTACTTTAATAGCCTCTGTTTCTTCCTTAATCTTACACATTACATATGAAATATACATTATGTTTAAAATAAATTTTATGCTGCAACTAAAAGTTATATAGCTGTGGTGCCATGGTATTATTTTAACCTTGTAAAGGTGGCCACAGCTTTGAAAAGCTTGAGAACCCCTGTTCTAATTAAAAAGGATTTTTTACAAACATCAGATCTGAGCCGTGATGTCGCGGGATAGAGCATTCGCCTTCTAATGAGGTGAACCGGGTTTGAATCCCAGCAATGGCTGGTCGATGCGAATTCCCCATCCGACTTGCACCAAGCACAGTGCTGACGAAAAATATCCTCAGTGGTAGACGGATCAGGGGTTAGAGTCCCTTTGCCATCAGGCTAACCATGGGAGGTTTTCGTGGTTTTCCTCTCCATGTGACACAAATGCGGGTTAGCTCCATCAAAAAGTCCTCCATGAAGGCAAATTTCTCCCAATACTGGATTGGGTTCAAAATTACAAGGCTACAGAGTTGAACATTAGTAGTCGTAAACTAAAAAAATTGGGTTGGCCGTTCAACGACGGTTCTAAAATAAAATAAAACATTAGATGTGTGTAAAAAAGCCTATTTTGCTTATGTTTTGTAAACTCATCCTGCGGACTGTAATGTTGGCGCATTACACTTAGATTTAATTTATCTTGCATACATTCTTTTCAACATTTTAATAATGCAGTCAGTTTAGTACTTTTTGTTTAACTTTTGTGTGTTTCATCTTTTGGTTATTTCAATAAAATTAAGCCTTCAGTATTTAATTTCTTTTTAGTTTATCGATTTTCAAAATTCATTCTTAATTTTAACCGAACTATTTTTTTACCAACGCAGTTGACCACCATTGTCCGCAATCTCCCATTTTTTAATCTGGTTTTTATTAAATCATATTATTAACATTTTGTTTTGTTTTTATTTATAAACATATTTCTCAATTATGTTTAAAATTTTTATGTCAAGCTTTCAAATTGTCCTGGCTCATGAATTATATTTTATAAAATTTTAATATTAGTGTTATTTTATTTAGTTTAATTTTTTTCTTCAAAATATTACTGCCATTATTATTCAGTTTCGAAAATGTCTTAGAATTTTTTATTTTTGAATACATTTAAAGATTTGTAAAATAATATTATTTTTTTTCTAAAAATTCAAAAAGTGTGTGATTATAGAATTTTTTTTTTTTTCAATGCACTATTTTCTCTTTTAGTGTGTTTAATTATTTATATATTTTGTAATTATTTGAAATATTTTCATCAGGGTTGGCAGGTTTTTGACATGTGACAGTTTTTGACAGTTTAATCCATGGTTTAAACCGTCACGTCAAAAACCTCACTGTCAAAAATGTCGAAAATGTCAAAAACCTATATTCATATGTGAAATTTAATTAATACATAAAATTTATATATTTTTTAAAGGATAGTGTTTCTAAATATGTTCTAGAAAAAATAAATTTAAAATTTTGAAGAAACTCCTATATTTTGAATAGTAACCAAAATCT